TAAAACTTGGGCATGGTATTGAATACACACACACACAAATAAATAAATAAATAATATAAATTTTTTTAAAAAATCTTCATAAATGAGCCTGAAAGAAACTTGAGCAATAGCTGAGTGGAAGCCAAGATTCCACACCATGACTATGACATCCCATTTTGGACATTCTATGTGGTTCCCTCCATTTCAACTTTGCTGCCTTAATATGACAGTGGAGTCAAGAAAAGCAAACCCCTGGCTGCTGTTTGCTGGGCGCTGGGTGCTGGCTGCTGGCTGCTAGTTACTGGCTTGCTTGCTGCTGGATGTTGGCTGTTGCTGGAGTTTTTTATTCAGCCTGGTACCCCAGCCTTTTTGCCTCAAATAAGCACACAAAGACTTACATTAATTATTAAACTGTTGGCCGATGGCTAGGGCTTCTTGTTGGCTAGCTGTCTTAATTATTAACCCATAACTACTAATTTATGTATTTCTACATGGTCTTAATCTTACCAGAGAATGCCTGGGATGTCCTATCTTCTGTGTCTCTACATAGTGTTTCCCTGTGGTCCTTCTCTGCCACCTTTCCTAGAATTCTCATAGTCTCTTAGTCCAGCCTATTTTCCTGCCTTTATTGGCCAAACAGTGTTTTATTCATCAGCCAATAAGAGAAACACACGTACAGAAGGACATCCCCCATCAGCTGTTTGCTGGTTGCTGGCCGCTGGCCGCTGGCCACTGGCTGCCATTGTGCAGGTGTTCCTAAGTCTCCTGTCTGACATTCTCATCCTTACTTCTCATTGCCACATTCCTTGATAGTCCCTGTCAATCCACCTGCTCAGTTGTCCCCTGGCACCAAATGTGCCTTTACACTTCCACTCCACCCTAAGTTTCTGATCAGAGTGTGAGCTCCACCCCACATCCTTAGCTTCTGACTTAGCAGTGAGCTCTGATGTGTATCCTGGACTCATGGCAGGGAGAACCCACCTCAGTGATGAAGTAAGAGTCTGGCCTATGGCTGAGTACATGCAAAGGAGAAAAGACTAAGTAAGATCATGCCTTCTTGTTTCAGTGCCTCCTAAGGCCTGGGAATGAGAACAGGCAAACCCTAGGTTTGCATGTGACAATGAGTGGTTTGGCTAAGCAACTCCCTAGTCCAACACTAGTGCGCATGGTCATTGCAATGCCCACCCCCCTCCATCCCCAGCCAGGTGGTTTGGGCTTCTTTTTGTTTTATTTTAGTTTAATTTGTTTTATTTTAATTTATTTAGTGTGTGTGTATGTGTGTGTGTGAGTGTGTGTGTGTGTGTGTGCCTGGAGGTGAATGTGTATGCGTGTGTGTGCATGTGTGTACATGTACACATGCTACCCTTTGCTTGTGCCTATCAGAGGATAACCTTTAGGACTTGGTTCCTTACTTCCACAAGGTTTGGGGGCTCATACTCAGACCACCAGTCTTGTGCTGCTTAGGACAGAACCAGGCCCTCTGAATATGGGTGGCAGTTATATGGCTTGACCTGTTTAGGAGGGGGTCCCTGGCAATGGGACCAGGACTTATCCTGGGTGCATGAACTGACTTTTGGGAGCCCATCCTCTATGGTGGCATTCCTTGCCCAGCCTGATTCAGGGGGAAGGAGCTTTGTCCTGCTTCAACTTGATATTCCAGACTTTGTTGACTCCCCAAGGGAGATTTTACCCCCTCTGATGAATGGAATGGAGGGCAGGGTGGGAGGAAATGGGGGGATAGGAGAAGGGGAGAGAGGGGGAACTGGGCTTGGTATGCAAAATGAAATAAAAATAATGAAAAGATAAACACATGTTTGAGTACACAGAGGCTACAGACTGCAAGTGCTCTCACTGAAAAGCTTGTGTTTGACACACAGTGAGTATGCAACACTACACTTTTTCTCATAGGAAAGCACATTTTGATCACACGGTCTCCTCATTTTCCTTTCAGAACAACTTCACTTGCATATGAGATCCAAGCCATGACAGGAAGAGGCTACTTGGTGCTGGGAACCTACCTGTGGCAAATGCCCTGGGCCTCCCCTTTACCCTGGACAGAGCTGGCCTGATGAGGTGGCAGGGTTAGATGAGAACAGAAAAGCTTAAGGGCTCCCCACTTTTACCCAATCTGGATGGAGACTGATACTATCCTCACAGAGCTCGGTCCAGCACCTCTGCCTCCCGCCTTGGCATTCAGATCACGTCTCTTTGCTGCTGGTACTAATCTGAACATTATAACATTCTCAGCTATTTCTACGTCCCTCCAATGGAACTGCAAGCTTTCTCCCTCAAGCCCCCACGTTCATCTCCCTTCTTCATGTATATTTGGAGATTGGCCTCGGGTTGAACCCTGAACTCCGGGACTGATTTTTCTCAAAGGATTAGAAGCACAGACACGCTCCAGTTTATGAGAACTGTGAATCCTGTGGCAGAGAAAGGTGTCTGCACGTCAGGACAGGGACATAAGAGAATGGCTGAGCTGCCAATTAGTGGGGAGCTGGAGAGTTAACCTTCCAGTGGTACATCTGGGAAACCCTGGGAGCTCCTAGTAAGGTCACTAAAAATGGAACAACCCTGCTGCCTTTTTGAGGCAAGCAAACATGACCATAGGAATGTTCTGCTGGAGATGCAGCCCCCGTTCTTATGGCTTACAGCTCCCAAAGCTTGGGCTCACTGTTAGAAGAAAAAAATGTGCATTTGCTTTTGTGTGGTCACAGTTCCGTCTGTGTTGGTTAACGCCATCCCCGTGGGTTTCAGAAGGCATTTGTTTCCTATGGGCAGGAGGCAGCACCAGCTCCAGAGGTCACAGTTGGGGGCTGCTGTGTCACAACCAATCTACAAAATGTAATTCACACACGCTCAGAGCCAATAAATCCCCCCTAAGCCTATCTGGCAGTGAGTACAGAGTCCCCTGCAGAGAGAAGGAGAGCAGGCAAGCTGATGGTGTTCAGGGGGCAGAGGACAACAGCACAGGGTGGTGGGACAGTAAACCCACCACCCAGCCAGCCAGAGATGCAGTCCTGTGAGGTTCCATCCCACAGCTGGGAAGACAGAGAAAGGCCAGCCAGGATTTTCCCCTGCTGCACATGCATGTGCCCATGCCCAGACGGTAATAGAGCAGGGATAACTATATCAGCCCAGGACCCAGCAGTCCTTCAAGAGAGGGAGGGTGGCTGGCATGGGAACTTGAGGATTCTCAGCTTAGATCTGGCCACTGGGATAGGAGGCTAAGAAGCAGTTCAATCCAACAGAGAAAGAGCAGATAATGGGGGGAGAGGGGACTTTCTCAGGTCACAATTTGGCAGCAGAACTGAAGGTCCAGTCAGGGTCCTCAAAACCTTGCCATTCTTCCCCTCACCACTGCAGAGCCCACCTCAGAGGGTGAGTGATTAATATCTGGTGGAAGAATAGATTCATACCTGGTGGGAAAATGGTGGGGAGGGGGGCTGAAGGGGAAGGGCACAGGAAGGAAGGGGAGTGGAGAGGAAGGGAAGGGAAGAGGAGAGGAAGAAACATGGGGAGGAGGAGAAAGAGAAAGAGAGAACAAGGGAGAAGAGGAGAAACACTCCTGGTGGTGACCCCTCCTTTGGGAGCACCCTTATTGGAGAGAACAGAGCACTCCATGTGTAGAGCTGAGGACCTTCTTCTTAACATGCTCTCTGCAGACACTTTGGTTTAACCTCCTCTGTGGACACCTGGCTGAGGTCTTCATCTCCGTGTGCTTGGGCACGTGACAATCACTCCCCGCATTCTCTATCTCTCTGCCTTGTAAGATGGGGAAGACACTTCCTTCACCCACAGGGTTGCCACTCGTAGGTTCCATTTGAGCAAACTGTCAACATAGAACGTTTCTATGGCAATAATTAGCCATTTTATTAAAAATTAACTGAGGCATGGGTGGTCAAGCTGTATGCCAATCTATTCTTACATTTTTGGTCTTAGCAAAAACTCACAAGTAGAATGCTGGCGAAGGAAATTTTAGTTTTCTTTTCACTGTAAACAAATATCCACATAGACTCGGGCAGGAAAGTGATTGGGGGAGGACACTCCACCAGAGCTTTGCGGATGCTTTCGTTTTGAAGTCAGGCATCTGCTTTAATACATTTGAAAGCAGCGTCCACTACCACCGTGCCAGACACGTTCCCTGGTGGTTTTGCTTAGACTGAGGTTCAAGGTAAAAAGCCAACATTGAAAACAGAATACCATAAGGGTACCAGAGAGCTGAGACAAAAAGCCTGCAAAACTGTGTACCGAGTGAGCAGAGAGAAGAGGGATAGACCCAGCCCCCAAAGGTGTGACTCTTTACACATGTGAGCATTTGACAGATCTGCATAGATTTGGAGAATGATATGCATTTCAAACTATTCCCTATAAAGCATCCACTGCAGTAAAAGAATTTTCTGTAATAATTTTTCCTTATTATTAATATTTGATGTGTTCAAGACTCAAGGAGAATTTAATACTTTTTTTTTAACCTTCACATAAACACTAAAAGGTATTGCAGACTGTTAGAGGCCTTTCCCTTAGATTCAGATCTGCTGTCATTATGCTCCTTGTTTAACCGTGTTAAAGTCACGTAACTATGAGCAGAGCTGGTTCTCAACCAGCACAGCTAGAGGGCCTGGGCATTCAATAAGCAAGGGGATATCTCCATACCCTCACTGAGGCATGAGCCCTTTTCTGTGGCTTGGTGTCTGCTTTTAGGTTGACAGTGTTTTATGTTTGCAATCGAATTCTTTTTTTAGTAGTATAACTTTAAAATATTAATCACTCCATTTCCCCCGTTCATGCTTTTTTATGCCATGCTAGAGTCCAAGGACAACAAAGCACTTGACTTGAATACAGAAACACCAGATCTATATTCATACTCAGTGTTCAAATGCAGATGGACACTAAAACAATTGTTTTGACTTCATGTCTTCTTGATTGAGTCATATTGGAATAAGGGATGTGCCTTGGGCTTCATCATGAATACAGGACAGAGATGGGCTGGGGTCCCCCAACCCTGACTCTGCTTTTTTTTTTTCGGCCAGCCTTGTGCTTTATTATAAGCCTTCTCACCAGGCCTTGACCGCATATTTGTGAAGCGGGTACAGCCTCTCTTTCCTCTGCTGCTTCTTGGTCTTCTCCCCGTGCTTGGTAAGGTGGCAGTGCATGGCTCTAGTCTTCTTGAGTCGAAGGTCCAGAGGCTTGTACTTCTTACCCTTGTAGAATTTCCTGAGGTTTTCTTTTTGAGTCTGGTTAATTACGGTGAGGACATGGGCAATGGATTTGTAGACGACTTGTATCTTGGAGAGTTTGGATGTGGCACCGCCCGTCACCTTGGCAACACAAAGCTGGGACAGCTCCATCTTCAGATCCTCTAGTTGTTTTAGCAGCTCCTCCTTCTTCTTGCTGCACAGGTCCTGAGCCTTAATCTTGGCCATAGCTGTGGTCCTCACCGCTGACTCTGCTTTCTTAAATCAATCAGTTACAGACAGCTGGCTATCTGGGAGAGTCAGAGTGAAAAAATGTGTGGCAGTGTTACTGGATGCCCCTCCCCCCTTAGGATTGTGAAACATAACCTACCTTGGCTTTTTGGGAGCCCTCTGCTGTCTCAGCACCATGTGGCTGTGCAAACCATGCACCCTCCATGGAAGCCAGGATGAAGATTTGTTCCTCTGACCCTCATGCTCATGATAACATCGCAGACAAAGCAGGCCCAGAGAACGCAAGGCATAAAGGGAACCCCACACACTACAGGATACCTCCTCTGTTCACATTGGGTTTGATTACAGAAACCCAAAGGTAGACTTTTTAAGAATTTACAGACAGCTCAAAGTGTTCATGAGTGTGGGGCTGTGTGACATCACAGAGTGCATTCCATAAAGCCATCCAAATGCAGAAAGCCACATGAGGTTGTTTCTCTCAGGACTAATGGAGGAGAGCTGGTCCTGTGATATTGTCTCAGACTCCGAGAAGCCAGAGCTCCATTTTTAAAGTCTTGTTAATCACCCCAGTGATATACGTTTCTCTCTGCAGACACTTCCTTTTTTGAGACAGAGTAGCTTGGGTTGGCCATGAACTCACAATCCTGGCTACTTTTATGCCAATTTGAAACAAGCTAGAGTTATCTGAGAGGAGGGATCCTCAATTTAGAAAATGTCTCCAAAAGATCCAAGTACAGGGCATTTTCTTAGTGATCAGTGGAGGAGGACCCAGCACATTGTGGGTGGTGCCACCCCTGGGCTGGTGGTCCTGGGCTCTATAAGAAAGCAGGCCCAGCAAGCCATGGCCAACAGGCTGGAAAGCAGCATGACTCCATGGTCTCTGCATCAGCTCCTGTCTCCGTTTTCTGCCCTGTTTGAGTTCCTTCCTTGACATCTTTTGATGATGAACAGTGTTGTGGAAGTGTAAGCCAAATAACACCCCACCAAGTTGCTTTAGGTAGTAGTGTTTCATCACAGCAATAGGAGCCCTAAGTAGGACATTCACTATGCAGCTGAGGATTTGAGCTCTAGCCCTCTGTGGTAGCTTGTGGTGGCCCCCATAAACTCATAAGGAATGACACTGTTAAGAGGGGTAGCCTTGTTGAAATAGGTGTGGCCGGCCTTGTTGGAGGAAGAATGTCACTGTGGAGGCAGGCTTTGATGTTGCTTACACTGAAGCTATACCTAGCTCAGACCACTTCTTGTTGCCTGTGGTTCAAGATTGGGACTCTCAGCTCCTCCAGCTCAAGTCTGCCTGCATGCTACCACATTGCATCATGAGGATAGTGAACTAAACCTCTAAAAAATAAGCCACCCAATTAATGGTTTTTCCTTTGTAAGTGTTGCCAAGGTCCTGGTGTCTCTTCACAGCAATGGAAACCCTAACTAAGACACCATCCTAACTCTATCTCTAATGCTGAGATCACAGTTGTGTGCCTTGCCTTGTTTCATATTGCTAGGGATCAAACCCAAGGCTTTGTATATGATGGCCAAGTGCTCTACCAACTGAGCTACACATTCAGCTCCATAGACATTAGGAAAAATGTTCTCAAAGCACTGTGCTCCTCTATGTGTCTAGGCAATTATCTAATTATGGGCTATGTACAAAATACCACCCAGAAGCTGTGAGCTGAAGATTTGGTCATCCCCCAACTAGCTAAGAGGTGACAAGTTTATGAGAGCAGTTACTTCACCCCTTGATAAGATAATAGCTGAATGGGTTCTTAGGGAGTGAGGCCTGAACGAAGGACAGGACTGTGAGTTTTAATAGTGCATCTGGTTCCTTCAAATGCTTCCCTGTTGCTGTGATGTAACCAGTCATTTTTTACCCTGCCCTTCCATCAGACCTTCACGCAGACACATAGGCTTGAAAGCAGTCACTGACGGAAACCTTGAGAACCACAGCCAAATACACATTTTTCCTATCGATTAACGTAAGTTGATTTCCCCAGGCGTTTTGTCCTACACACACACATACACACAGACAGACAGACAGACAGAGAGACAGAGAGACAGAGAGAGACAGAGACAGAGAGACAGAGAGAGAGGAGCCACTGCCCACCTCCCCTTAAACTCCACCTGGTGACCTATGGTTGCCATAGATGAAGAAAGAACACATAACACTGAGAGGCAGTCCCACTAGCTGAGTTGCTTAACCCAACTGGTGTTGTTTGCTGGAGTATTTTGTGGCTATTTCTAAAACTTACAAACCCTGATCACAGCCTCTGTTATACCTGAACAAGTGGCTTTGGGGTGACCGGCCATCTGTTTAGCCTCCTTGGAAAGACATGATTCCTTAGGCCACCTGTACCTCTGATTCTTGGAATCTGCACTCTCTAAATTTCTCTGGAAAAGATGCTTTTAAATAATTGATTACTTTCTTCCCTGAAGGCCAAATAAGGTAATCTTAGTGTTTCAGTTCCCTAGGTAACGATCCCTCCACAGGCAATCTCACAGGCTCCCAAAGAAACCAAACACTGTGCATGTGCATCGCGCTGCCCAGAGCACAGTTAGGGTGGCAGAAATGCCATTGACAATTGTGCATGTGCATGTATGTGCGCAAGGTTTCAAGACCCAAAATGATCCTTTCCTCAACAAGTATGTTCACATCAGAGAATGTGAGGCTCAGCACAGCTTTTAATACAAAGATGTGATTGTAAAGATTTGTTTTAAAATGGATTTCTTGTTTCATGAAAACATTAACAGTCTGGAGGCCACAGAATAAAGAAAAATAAGTTTGCGTAGGTCAAAAATTTTAAGTATGATGCAAAAAGAAAGGTATTTAATCTATATTTTAACACATACATACATACATACACATGCACTCTCATTCATACATCCACACTCACATGAACACACATATAAACATTTATACAGATATATAGACTAAGACAGAAATAAATATGCATATACATATGCATATACATATACATATACACATACATACATACCCACACAATGTACTCATTTATTCATACTCATACTAACACAACACACATACAAACATGCATATAAATACATATACATAAACAAGCATACATATTCACATGCATATATCTATAAACATACAGATATAAACACATACACAAACACACATGTACACACACACACATCATAAACGTATAGAGGAAAATCACAAAAGATAAATCAATATGGTGTCTTTAATGACATGTATTAAACCTCATAAGCCTGCCCAGTGGTTTGTAGCTCACCAATAAAGAACCATGTTTTGTTTGGTAGAAGGGTTAAGATGCCACAGGTGGCCTCCACAACCCCAAGCCATTGACAAATTAATTGTTTCTCATTTACATTACATTTCATTAAGAATGGGGCAACACTTAAATTTTGGAGTCAAAGCATTCTTTAAATTTAATTTATTGTTTTACATGTCGATCCCAGTTCCCTCTCCCTCCCTCCCTCCGTCCCCTCCCCCCAACCCTCCCTCCCTCCTTCCCTCCATTTTACCCTCTCTGCCCTCTCACATGCATTCTAACCACCCTCCCCTCCCATCCCCCCACCCCAATTCCATATGTAGGGGAATGTCATCCAGTTGGGGTCATGTAGATCTGACAGGTCCTGTGAAGTAGGGACTAGGGCTTCTCTCCTGTCTCTAGATTAAGGCAGTTATCCCTCCATGGGGGATATGTTCACAAAGTCCTTTTGTGCACCAGGGATACATCCTGGCTCCACTGTCTGAGGTCCCTTAGACTGCTCAGTCCTTCTGGCTGAGACCCATCTTCAGGGGGGCCTGAGTCAGTCCCATGCTGGCTTCCCAGCTATCAGTCTGGGGGCCCCTTACCAGCAGGAAGTAGCTTGGAAAGAACGACGCCCAAATTCCCAAATATTGTGTATAAATGTTTGTTTTCATTTAATTGGACTTTGTTATATAAAATTAAATAAAATAAAAAAAAATTAAAAAAAAAAAAAAAGAATGGGGCGACACACCTTCCTACAGGGAGTCACTTGAAAGCTGCCTTTCTTCTTTACCTTCTTTCAATGTCAGCTTACAATGTAGGTTTGAAGATGTCATCACACCTGATGGCATCCCCAAGATTTGAAGACTGGAAAAGGCTTTCAATAAGAACAATGGCTATTCCACCCACAGCTCCTATCATAAACCTTTGGGAAACCCTACTCACAGACACACCTACCTATATGGAAAAGGAACCTTCTCCTGTGATACCTACTCAGAGAGAAGGTAGACAGCTATGTCTAATAGCCCTGCAAGTTCTTCTATACTCAGTACACACCTCCCCTCATGACAGGACGCCTGATGTGCCCATGTCACTGTACCAGTTCCAAGCCTAGGTTCTCTATGGCTTTCTCTGCAAGCAAAGCACAAAACTTCCTTCCCTCATACTTTTTCAGACTAAGAGTTCACTGAGCTGTCAGTGCTAATCAAGGAGTATGACGAGGCTCGAACAAGCTTGTGTAAGGAAGTCCCACTCACAGCTGAGGAGTATCAGGAAAAAGGACTTCATTCTAGGGCAATGAGAAAGCCTCAAGGCAAGAGCTACCAAAAAGCCAGGATTGAGTACCAGTGGGTGTTCCTTGGGTCTACTCAAGATGCATACTTTTTGTCAAATGTAGTTGGGGTCATGGGCTTTGCACCCCAGGAGGCTAACCTGGAGGATCTCCCATTCTCAGAGAGCATAGGAATTGCTCCAGGAAGGACACCTTATTTTTGTGGCTTGCTTTTTTCTGGGGAGAACTTGCAAGATTTTAGACATGAGTTGTAGTTTCATCATGCATTCATTTAGTCCACATAATTCCTCTCTTTCAATTTGGGAGCTTTCTAACCCACTTACTCAGTTTTCTCTCAGTCAGAGTCCATGAAAATGTTTGCCTTAACTTTAAATAAGATTTTCTCGTTTGCCTGAATAATATTGGGCTGGTTCATGCTTTGCCTTGCATTTTAAGGAGTGTTGTACACAAGCTCCTTGAGACACTGCTCACCT